GAATGTAGACAAACTAGAGAGTAAGTACAGCAGAGGATGCCAGAAGCTATGATCAGGAAAGAACAGGAGACTGACCATCAATCACGAGGCACAGAATTTCAGTTTTGCAAGATATAAAAGTTTACCAGCTGGTTCACAATCTGAATGTACTTACCACTAAAGAACATGTTTAGAAGACATTAAGAAGGATGACTTAATTGGTAGGGTGCTGGTCCCCTAAACTCACGGCACACCTCAGCTCATAACACATCCGCTGGGATTCTCACAGGCAGAAAGTTCTTGTCCTGTCTACCCTGAGACGAAAATGTGAAGCACTTGCCAAGGCACACACTTGCTGAGAGTCAGCAGGCCCTGCTCTTAAGGCTGCAAGGCTGTCCATACCCTTCCTGTTACTTTGGGGCCCTGTGAAAAGTGTGGGTGCTGTGCCTGAGCCAATGGGCCTTGGATCCCTGCTGTACTATATGTAGCTGTGCAGCCTTGAAGAAAGCACCCAGACTTACCACACCCCCCAAAAAAGCTGGGAGCATAATGGTATTTAAACTACAGGGTCACTGTGAACATTCCATTACATATAAAAACTAAAAGGGCCAGGGTCAGTGGGACACAACTATAACCCCAGCACTCAGGAGGCCAGGGTGGGAAGGATTGTGAGTTCTATGTAAGCCTGGGGTCTACAGCCAGCTACAGCTGGGCCTGGGTTATTAATGAGTTTCAGGCCACCATGAACTATGTAGCAAAATCTATGCAACATAGCAGAGCATATTTAAGACAAAACAAACCACTAAATGGGAACTACAGAGATGGCTCTAAGGTTAAGAGCAATTGCTGCTCCTCCAGAGGACTCAGGTTCAATTCTCAGGACTTATACTGGTGGCTCACAAGTGGGCGGAACTCCAGTTTCAGAGGATCTGACTCCCTCTTCTGGCCTCCCTGGGTACTGCATGCACACTGTGCACTGACACACAAGTAGAGAGAAACACCAGAGCGCACAAAATAAAAATAAGCAAATTAAAAAAATAAAAATAAATGTGTTTATTTTTGTCATGCGTGTGCATGCTATGTATGGGGCATGCATGCCACTGCCCACTGGTGGAGGTCAGTTGTGGACTAGTTCTCTTCTTCCAGCTCACCAGGTATTAAAACCCAGGTAGACAGGACTGCAAGGCAGAGGGTTTACCTGCTGCTTAGTCACCCTGTCAGCACCTTTCTAAAGGTCCTTAAGGGACACAAGTGCCAGAGGGGTCAACATGCCCAGTGCACTTACGGAGAGCCTATCCTAGCATGCCAGTGCTCTTTCAGCCTCCTGGGGTCAAGCCCAGATCAAGCTATGCTAATGAGCCAAGTGCCAATGCAAAGGAGAGGCAGGCACTCCTGGCCACAGCGGTGTGAGCTGGATAGCTCTTTTTGGCCAAGAGTTATCTAGATATCATCTCTGGGAAGAGTGCCTAGTGTTGGGACTTCCTGCAAAGCGGACAAAGATGGCTGTTCCAGGAACAAGTGCCAGGGTTCCTCCTAAGTTCAGACTCACCCAAGCCTGAGAAGACCCAGCATCAGCCATTGCCAGGGGCAGGCAGACCAGGCAGCACAGATGCTAGCTTGTCTAGGAAAGGAGCCAAGCCAGAGGAGGGCTCACTTCACCCTCATCTCAACCCACCCTGGCTAGAAGCCTGTCTGTCAGCTCCACTTTGATGTGACCAGAAAGGATGGACAATGTCAGGGTTGGACGGCTCAAAAGCTATTGGGGTTTTGTTTTGTTCTCCGAGTGCTAGGTGGGGAATCAAAACCAGGTCCTTGTGAATTCTAGGCAAGCCCACTATTGCACATCCGTACCCCCAGCTGCTCACTGGAGGATTCTAGCAAAGCATACTCAGCTATTCCTGCAGGTCCTGATTCGGGGATTCTAGGCAACCTCTCTTCCACTGTGCCACATCCCCACTGGGGGTGTCTAGGCAAGCACTCTACCACTGAACCACACACACCCCAGGTTAAAATCTGGATGTTGTTTAGATTGTGTCCATGGCCTCTGAGCCTACAAGCAGGCTGTGACTAGCTAACACTAACACTAACATTAACACTAACACTAACACTAACCCACCACAGCCTGTCAGCCATGAGTCTCCCTGGTGGTGTTATACAAGATCCTACTTTTCTGTCCCTCTGCTTTCAAGGTAAAGGAAGATTAATGGACTGAGGCCCAGATAGCCCAGCCATTCTGTAGCTCCATGAAATTCTTCTTGGAACAACCCAAACTTACTGGGAAACCTTGGTAGCTAAAATTTCAATTGTGAGCTTGGAAGGGTCTGGAATCACCCAGAAGGGAGTCTCGATGAGGGACTATCTGTGGAAGAGTGCCTTGATTGTGTCTATGGGTGCAGGAAGACCCATCTTTATGGTGGGCAGGACCATTCATTGGTTGGGATCCTGGACTGTGGAAATGGAGAAAGTGAGCTGAGCTTCAGTATGCATGTATCACTGACCAGAGCTGCTGTAAGCATGCACCACCAAAGTGAGCTCCAATATGCATGCATTACTCCGTGCTTCCTGCTAGTGATGCAATGTGAACAGCTGCTTCAAGCTCCTGCTGCCCTAACCCCACCACTGTGGAATAGAACCTGGGCTGGGGCGAGAACAAGCCCTTTCTCCCTTCAGCTGCTTTTATAGAGTAGTTTGTCACAGCAACAGAAAAAGAAACGAGGGGCCGGAGAAATTGCTCAGCAGCTAACAACAGCCAGCCTATGATGCTCTTACTGAAGGCTGGAGCTGAGTTCCCAACACTGTCATCCAGAGCCTGGGCTGGCTGAGCCCCTGCCAGCCTGAAGCTGCTAGTCTAAGCAAAGGGACCTTACTCTTGAATGCTCTGGGCTGGGTGACATCCAAGCTAGGACCCTATGGTAGTGCTGCTGTCCTAAGTAGGCCCAGAGCCAGCTCAGGTCCCTCCTAGGTTGTCTGTGGCCCAGGAAACAACACTTTTTGTCACTTTGTGTAGCTCTCACTTTTCTGGAATTTACTCTTTAGACCAGGTTGGTCTTAAACTCACAGAGATCCACCTACCTCTCCCTCCTGAGTGCTGGGACTAAAGGTGTTCGCCACCACTGCCCAGTCAAGAATGGCTCATTTTGACAAGTGGAAACTAGCTTTCCAAACCCCTGAGGGAATGCTGGCTTTTGTCTATTTTTTCTTTTTAAAAAACTTTTTTATTTTATTTATTTATTTATTATGTATACAACATTCTGCTTCCATGTATATCTGCACACCAGAAGAGGGCACCAGATCTCATAATGGATGGTTGTGAGCCACCATGTGGTTGCTGGGAATTAAACTCAGGACCTCTGGAAGAGCAGTTGGTGCTCTTAACCTCTGAGCCATCTCTCCAGCCCACACACACCTCTTAAAGACAGGATATCATGTAGTCAGTATTGACCTCAAACTTGCTCCTTATGACCTCAACTCCTGATTCTCCTGCCTCCCTGTCCACTCACAGTCCTAAGATTACAGGCCTGCCCCAACATACCTGCTTCATGTGTCTATGGGAACTGAACCCAGAGCCTTTGTTTGTTTGTTTGTTTGTTTGTCTGGGACAGGGTGTTAATGTACAGCTCTGGCTGTCCCAGAACTCACTCTGTAGACCAGGCTGGCCTCTAATTTATAGAGTTCTACTTGCCTCTGCCTCCCAAGTGCTGGGATTAAAGATATAAATCACCATGCTTGTCTTAGGCCTACAGCCCTTTGCAAGCCAGGTGAACACTGTACCAACTGAGCACCAGCCTCAGCTCCATAGCACATACCTTCAAGGTCTCCTCATTATAATGCATGAGGAAGGCCACCACAGCAGCACTGCTGCGGCTGATGCCCCGGGTGGAAAAGACCAGGATGACAGACTCTAACTGGAGGTGAAGTTCTGCAAAGGAAGGAAGAGAGAGGGATGTGCATGGTACTCTTCCCCCTGCACCTCAGTGGCCATCAGCAGACCAGCCTTGCCAGGCTTAGCAGGGCAGGGAAGGCCTGGAATCCTAGATGTTCAGAGGCTAAGAGGAAGAAAGATTGAAAGTTGAAGTCCAGCCTAAGTAACCTAGGGAGATGCTGCCAAAATAAAAGATAAGAAGAAGACAGGGGTGGGAGTGGGGATGTGTGGGGGTGTGGCTCAGTGGTGGAGCACCTGCCTAGAATCCCCCAGTGAGGGGCTGGGGTGTGGCTCAGGGGGAGAGGCCCCGCCTAGAATCCCCCCGGGAGGGGGTGGGGGGGGGAGCACCTGCCTAGAGTCCCCCAGTGAGGGGTGTGGCAGGGTTCATAGGCACAGCACTTACCTAGCATGTGTTCCAATCTGGTTGTATTCCTCAAGTTGAAAAAAAAGTTAAAAAGTGGAAGTGGTGAATTTCTGGGCAAATAAGGGTGGTGGAGGCTACCATCCCACTGCCAGCCATTCAAGCTTGGACTGGGGGTTGAGTTGGTGCCATTCTGGAAGCCAAGACTCCTCACCCAACTCAACAGAGGTGTTAGGAATCTTGCTTTTCCCAGTCAACTCTGAACCCCATAATCTCATAGAGTGGCACTGTTAGGAGGTGTGGCTTTGTTGGAGTGGGTATGGCCTGGTTGGAGGAAGTGTGTCGCTGTGGGGCGGGCTTTGAGGGATACTGCCCAGTGTGTCAGTTGACTTCCTGTTGCCTGCCTATCAAGATGTAAGGACTCTGAGCTCCAGCCCCACATCTGCCTGCAAACCACCACGCTCCCTGTCATGATGATAATGGACTGAACCTCTGAAACTGTAAGCAAGTCACCCCAACTTAATGTTTTCTTTATGAGTTTCCATGGTCATGGTGTCTCTTCACAGAAATAGTAACACTAACTAAGACCCTCCCTTACCCCACTCTATGACAAGCACTGGACACAGAAGTAGAAAGAGAAGCACTTCTGAGGCCCCAGGCCCCACACAGGAGCAGGCATCCAAAACATGGTGCACCCATGTCTGGCCAGTATCTTCACTGCGGCTCTGGCTCAGCAGGGCGTGGCGATGTAGCTAAGCTAAGAACAGGGTGATCAGATACAGTGTGGTGCTGTCACTGAACGCCACTCCTAAGCCGCTCACGTACACAGAGCTGAGGCTTCGGTGCAGCTGGATGTGCTAGATTTTGTACTTCCCCAAGTCCTGGGGGTGGTCTCTGACAGGGAGTCCCTGATCTGGAAATTCTCCTTACCCATGAAGTGACAGATGTGGCGGAAGGAGTTCAAAAGGTTGGAATCTGAAGAATCCTCTATCTTGATATGCAGGAGCTTGTCTGCATCACCTGCAAAACTGAAGGAAGGCAGCGTGGTGATGAGTATCAGTTTCCTTCCAGGAGGGAGGCTTCTTAAGACTCAGGAAGTAAAGGAAATTTCCAAGGCTCAGGAACTGAGAAATTTGCAACTTCCTGAAACATACAAGATTCACAAGGCCCCTCCCCAAGCTATATAATATGGCAGGAAGAATGGCAGATGAGAGGAGACTCTCTGGCCTGCGGAGCTGTCTGTGAGTCATGCAGTGAGTTCCAGAGTCACAGCTATCATGAATGCTGACTTAGCTACCTGTGAGTCATTCATGTTCCTGTAAGTAATCCTCCTACACACACACACCAGTTAAGAAACCACAGTAAACTCACTGGCTCTCCATGTTGGACTTGGCTGGTGGTGTCCTTACTTTTAGTCTGTCATCAATGTCCTATCTGGGGTGAAGAGATGTTTTATTCACATCACTCCAGGAAAGTCATACAATACCTGGGTGACAAACCAGCCCCACTGTGGCATCCCTTGTCCATATCACAGAAACCACAAGGGAATGATTAGGGGATGACATCAGGATGATAGAAACTAGTAGAAATATTACCTGGGGGCTGGGGAGATGTCTCAATTGATACAGGGTTTATTAGGCAACCATTGGGACATGAGTTTGATCCCCAGCTCCCACAGAAAAAGCCAGGCTTGGTGGCCTGCACGTAATTCCAGCACTGGAGAAGTGGGGACAGAGGGATCCCTGGCCTCACTGGCCAGCCAGCCTAGCCCAGTTGGTGAATTCTAGATCTGAGATGTCCTATCTTTTAAAACATATGGACAGTTCTGTAGGGGGCCGTTTCCTGCATCCTCCATTACAATAATGGTGCCTAAAGACACCAAGATGTAAATTACTTCAACAGGCGGCGGCTAATCTCCATTCCTTTGATCTCTGCCTATCCCGTGGCTCATTTGGCCTGAGGAGCTGAAGCCATTCATAGGGTAACACGTCCCAGACGGCTGGCCAGCCTTTATTAAGGAACGGGTTTCTTAGTTCAGTGTCTCCGCTCTGGTAAGCTTATGCATTAAAGCTTGTCTGCAGAAGGATCCGAGTGTCCTGCGTGTATTTCTTGCCGGCGAGAAAATACAGCACGCGCGCGGGACACAGTTCCTGCAGAATGACACTGGAAATTGTCATTTGGCCTGCACATACAGTCACACACATACCTATACACACAGAGAATGCCTGACAGAAGACATCTACCTAGATTCCCCCTGTGAGGGACTGGGGCTCACTTAGCAGAAGATCATTTGGCCAGTATGTAAGAGACCTGGGTTTAATCCCTAGTACTGAAGGGAAAAATAGCTACATCAAACTATGGCAGTAGGAAACGTGTAAATAAGTGACTCTTAACCTAAGATAAAAACCATGAGCTGGGGAGATGCTGTCAGTCAAACACCTGAGAAAGCATAAGGACCTGTGTTATAATCCCCAGCATCTGCATAACAAGTTGGCTAATAGGGGCACACATCTGGAAACCTAGGGCTGCGGGAACTGAGACAGATCCCCCAAGCTTGCTCACTAGCCAGATTATCCAGTCCATGAACACCAGGCTCGGTGAGAGACTCTGTCTTAAAAAATAAACTGGAGAGTCAGGCAGTGGTAGCTCACACCTTTAACCCCAGCACTCAGGAGGCAGAGGCAGGTGGATCTCTGTGAGTTCAAGGCCAGCCTGGTCTATAGAGTAAGTTCCAGGACAGCTAGAGCTACACAGAGAAACCCTGTCTTGACATACCAAAAATAAATAAATAAGGTGAAGAATGACAGAGGAAGACACCCAACATCAACACATGGCCTCCATAGGCACAGGGACCTGCATGTGTACACACACACACACACACACACACCCACACACACACACACACACCACCTTTACTTACTAGGGTGTTGCCTCCATGGAAACATTGACATGCGCCTTAATTTTCAAATCCTTGTGAATCCTAGCATTGCAGGCTTGGCTGAATTTGCCCAGGAAGATCTTGCCTGGAATTATCTCAATTGGATATGGCTGGAAGGCATCCAGTTCCTGGGGTGGGGAAGGAAAAAGGCTGCCTCACATAAGAGAAGGTGGAGGCCCGTCTCTGGAGGTGTAGCTATAAAGGTGAGCTCAGAAGAGCCATCTCAAGACAGTGAAGGAGACTGCAGGAGCTTGCGTTGCCAACAAATACCTCACATGAGGAATCAGAGGCCTGGGTGTAAACAAGAATGACCCACAGCATCACAGTACATGAACAGGTCTCCATACTGATGTCCTCTTCCTTTATGGCACCAGTTTGTACCTGGCCACACACAGAAATGTTGGAATAGACTATCTGTGGCACAAAACTTGTCCAGTTGAGGTTACTGCTTGCTGCCAAGCAACTTGAATCCACTTCCTGTGCCCCACATGTTTGAAGAAGGGAACCTGATTTCCACATATGTATCATGGCTTTCCCATGTGTGCCTGCATACATACATGCATATAAAACATGCACACATGCACACACAGCACAAAACAAATCATTGTAACCAGAAAAAAAAGAAATCTAGCAGCATTCTAGGTTCAAAATCCTGGAAAAGGAAAGGTTTACCATGGCTCTCAGTTTTAGAGAGCCTCTAACCCATTATGACAGTGAAAGCATGGTGGTGGGGTCCTGTCCATGGTAGTAAGAAAACCTGCCCACTCCTAGGACCTATTTCCACCAGTCAGGCTCCACCTCCTAAAGGCTCCGTAACCACCTGAGGAGGGACTTTGGCTGGGGAACAAGTTTTCAAGGCATAGGCCTATGGGAAACATTTCAGAGTCAACTCCAGCATTGTCTGACTTAGCCTACTGCCCCCTGAAACCACACCCCCTCTAGGTCCCCATGTTTGGCCTCCCCATGTGTTAACTCGCTAGCTGCTCCAGGCTCATTTTTCCACCCGTGTCCCAATGTCCTCTATCTCTACTTTCTCTCTCTCCACCTCTACTTACCTGTCAGTCTCCAGCCTCACTTCTAGTCATGTATGTCACCCTCCTGCCTCACCTGGGGCATCCAGATGATCTTCTGGGTCCGGAAGAAGTGGTACAGGCCAGAGAAGCACTCGGTACCCCCTCTGAGGACATAGACAGGCTGGCGGGTGATATGGGTGAGGATCTGCCCAAACTCCACGGCAGGTCCAGGTAAGAGTTCTATGGGACCAAACAGGTACAAAGTGTGTTTAACATTTGTCTAGTGTTAGAATAGGTGGCCAATTCCATCTGAAAACAATTACTCAGAAACCCAAGTCAAGGGGAACATAAAAAAAAAAAATTAGGAAACACAATCCGAGTCAAGTACAGAGTGGAATGTTACAACTGGAAACTTGAGATTTAAAAAGAACATGTGTGGTGTTTCACCCACATGTATGTCTGTGTACCACATGTGCGCAGTGCCTGCAGAAGCCAAAAGACAGCAAAGGATCCCCTGGAACTGGAGTTATAGACAGCTGTGAGCAATCATTTGGGTTTTGGGAATCAAACCCAGGTCCTCTTGTAGAGCAACCAGTGCTCTTATCACTGAGCCATCTCTCCAGCCCCCCATTATTATTTTAAATTATGTGTATATGTGTGTTTGTGAGTTTATGCACACGAGTGCGAGTGCAGGTGCCCATGGAGGCCAGTATAGGACACCTGATTCCCAAAATCTGGAGTTACAGATGGTTTTGAGCCATCTGACATGAGTTCTGGGAACTGAACTTAGGTCCTCTATAAGAGCAGTTTGTGTGCTTCAACAAAGATACCTCGTTACAGCTGAATAATATTCCAGTCTGTGGATTACTGCATTGTTTCATCCATTCACTAGCTTATTAAGACATCTGTGCTGTTTCCACTGTGGGATATTATGAACAAGGTCAGGTTTTTGTGTGATGTGTTTTCATTTCCTTTGAGTGTGCACCCTGACACTGTGAGGAATTGCCATCGCTTTTTTACACTAGACCATTTTATATTCCAGTCTTATAGTTGTGTTTTGTTCAGTTTAGTTTCTCATTGTTGTTTTGTTTTTTTGTTTTTCAAGACAGGGTTTCTCTGTGTAGCCCAGGCTAGCTTGGAACTCACTCTGTAGACCAGACTGGCCTTGAACTGAGAGATCCGCCTGCCTCTGCCTCCCAAGTGCTAGGACTAAAGGTGTGTGTCACCAATGTCAGGCTTTGGGTTAGTTTTTAATTTTTATAAGATTTATTTTCTTTTTAATGATGTGTGGGGGTGGGTGCATGCAGTCATACACACATGCCACAGTATACACTTGGAATTGAGAGGCCAAGACTTAGGAGTTGGTTCTCTTCTGGCCCCTTTTGGGATCCAGAGATGGAACTCAGCTTGTGGGTCTGTTCACAGGCACTTTCTACCATTTTCCTGGCTCTGATTTTGTTTTATTTTTTTTTTGAGTCAGGGTCTTACTCAGCACTACATAGTCTAGACTTGCCTTCGAAATTATGACAATCCTCCAGCCTCAGTCTCTCCACTGCTGAGGTTAGTTGTGAGCCACTATGTCCAGAACCTTTTACACTGTGTTCAGTAGTATACAAAGTTCTGGTGTCTCCATATTCTCATCAACACTTGTTATTATCCATCTTTTTTTATTATGCTCACCTTAGTGGGTGTGAAGTACTATCTCCTTGTAGTTTGGTCTTGTTTCTGAGATGAGATCTATGTAGCTCAGTCTGACCTGGAACTCATTATCCTCCTGAGTGTGGAGATTAGAGGCATGTATCATTGTGCCTGGCTGCAGTGTGTGTGTGTGTGTGTGTGTGTGTGTGTGTGTGTGTGTGTGTTATGTGGGGGGTGTGGTATATTTGTGGTATATGTGTGTGCAAGTGAGTGTGTGTGTGGTGTGTGTTGTATATGGAAATCAGTCATGTTTCAGGAGTCTATTCTGTGGGTCCCAGGGGTTATCTCACTGACCCTCTTTTTATGGTTTGATATAAATTTAACCTTAAACTCTTTCATGAACTGTAATTATGCTATATAATAGTTAATAATTATTATCCACTTGTCTGGACTTAAATCACCTAGGACACTGCAGAGACAAATCTATGGATGCAAATGTGAAGATGTTTCCAGGGAGAATTCACCTAGGACAAAAGATCTGTCCATCCCCAGCACTGCATATGACATGGTGGCATATGCCTGTAATCCCAGCACTCAGAAGATGAAGAGAAGAAGTTCACAAGTTCAAGATCCTCTTCAGCTATATAATGAGTTTGAGTCTAACCTGGGCTACAAGAGACTCTGATTCAAAACTAACCAATACCTACAGACTGTAGCCCAAAGGAACTCACACTCGGAAGAAATTTCCAAGCCAAAGACCACTTGGGAAGGCTCAATGGCAGAGTCTTAGTGCCACCCAGTGGCAGGGAGTGTCAATGACTATGCTCAATCCATCAGCACAGGGCTGAAAAGATGATAAACCAGCTTCAAATTTTTAGGTAAGTATCTTGGAATTGACTACATGTGCTTTGTGGAGCCCTTTACTTTTTTCTTACTTTATTTATTCATCTCTGTGTGTACATGTATGTGCATGTCTATCACAAACACAGGTGGAGGTCAGAGGACAACTTAGAAGTTCTCTCCTTCCACCTTGTGGGTCCTGGGGATCAAACCGACCTTAGTAAGCTTGATGACAAGTACATCGCCTGCTGGGCCATCCTACTGGCTCCTCTTTTGCATAGTAGTGAGGACTGGACCATGGGCCTTATACATGGGAGGCAAGTGTTCTACAACTGACCTATAGACTTGGCTGGATTTTATTTGTTTACTGAGATAAATATAGACCAGGCTGGCCTTAAACTCACAGAAACCCACCTGCCTCTGCCTCCTCAGTGTTGGGATTAAAGGTGTCCACCATTATGCTTGACTATTTATTTTATGAGCCTAGCCTTTAATGGCTGAGCCATCTCTCCAGCCCTTGACTATTTATATATTTTGAAACAGGGTTTTATGTACCCCAGCCTGACCTTGAACCTGCTATGTAGTTGGTAACAGCCTGAGCTTCTGTTCCTCCTGCCTCCACATCCAAGTGTGCACTCCCAAACCCAATATGTGGTATTGGGGTGGACAGAGGGCTCCAAGCATGCTAGGTGAGCACTCTGCTACCTAAGCTAGAGTCCCAGACCAGTTTTTTGTTTGTTTTATTTTCATTGGAAACATGGTCTCACTCTGCAGCCCAGATTGTCCTGAAACTCGGGGCAATCCTCGTACTTCGGCCTCCCCAGTGTTGGGATCATATATACTGCACCTGGCCCCAGATGACACCTGGATTATAACCTCTGGAGAAACATTGGGACTCTTGGCTGAGTGGCCCCTGAATTCTGGACCCAAAGATATGACAATTAGCATATTGTCATTTAGGACCGCTGACTTTCTGATCACTTGTTGTGCAGTGGTAGAGACCTCACTTGCTATGCATGTAGGTGATTTCACCTTCTCCTTCTTCCTCTTCATCCCCCTCTTCCTCTTCTGTCTTTCCTGTGTATGTATGTGATATGCACTGTGTGTGCATGTTTTTGCATGTGTGAAGATGCACATGTGTGCAGGAGATGGCTTAGTTGGTAAAGTGCTAGCCTTGCAAATTGAGGACCTGAGTTCAACCCCCAGAGCCTGTGTAAAAAAGCCAGGCACAGTGGTACTTTTGCAATCCCAACACCAGGAGGGCAGGGACAGGTGGATCCCTGGGACTCACTGGCCAGCAGCCTAACCTTCTTGGCAATCTCTAGGCTGGAAGAGACAGTCTCAAAAAAAAAAAAAAAGTGGATGGCACTTGGCAGATTGACCCTTGAGGCTGACTTCTGGTCTCTACAGGCTTGTGCACACACAGAGACATACACACAAGGAAGTAAAATAGAAATCATTCCTTCTTCCGTTGTTTCCTTCAGGGAGTGTAGTCACAGCCACATAAAAATAAGGAATACAGTCACTATCTACTATTTTTTTTGTGGCTGGGGAAACCCACCCGGGGAGGCTGGGGATGTGGCTCCCTTGGTAGAGTGCTTGCCTAGCATGCTTGAGGCTCTGGGTTCCACTCCCAGCACTGCCTGATCCAGGCATGACTGCACATGTCTAAAAGCCCAGCACTAAGAAGAGGCAGGCGGATCTCTGTGAGTTTGAGGTCAGCCTGGTATATGAGTTCCAGGACAGCCTGGGCTACATAAAAGAGAGATCCTTTCTCAAATAACATTAAAAAACAGGCAAAAAGACTAAGAAGAAGAACTTTCTTGGGGTGTCATTACCAGTGTTCTTATCATCATCATCATCATCATCATCGACCTCTCTTTTTTCTTCCTCCTCCTTCTCCTCCTCCTTCTCCTCCTCTTCCTTCTCTTCCTCCTCCTCCTCTTCCTTCTCCTCCTCCTCCTCCTCTTCCTTCTCCTCTTCCTTCTCCTCCTCCTTCTCTCCCTTCTCCTCCTCCTCCAATCTCCGCCCCCACCCACAGTCCCCGCCCCCCCATGCACAGTTCCAGGGAACTGGTGTTGCTATCGTACACGATGCAGTATCGCACACACTCCAGATCCACAGATTCTGGGATGAGGTATTGGTTCTCCTTCTGAAGAAACCACACAGATGTGTTGCTAGGGAGCTCATCTGGGTACACTCTCCCTGAACAACATCTCAGAGGAGCCTGAGGCAAGGATTGGGGGGCCTGTCCTTCTTCCCTTGCTGACTCATGAGCCAGAAACACCATGATGGGAGAGTCTCTTGAATCCCAGGGGGGTCTCCCCTACCCACCACTAAGGACAGCAGTGTGGGACTAGACGGGAGATGGCCAGGCTGGAGAATGGCTGGTCCATTCTGAACTCACAAGCCCTCGGAGTCACTGACCTGATGGACAAGAGATGTTGGCAGTAGACCCAAACCCAAAATCACTCATGAAGATGATAGAAAGGCTTGTGTCCCAAAGCAGAAGTTCTGAGTGAGCAAATGTCACCGGGAGAACCATGAGATCAAATGCAGGCTGTGGGGTGTCAGGAACTTCAGTCTTCTGTTAGTCTCTAACTGTATTACTGACTGTCCCACCACTGTGACAGAACACCTCACAAGAGCAGTATATGGGAGGACGGGTTCATTTTGGCTCATAGTTTGAGGGTACAGTCAGTTGTGAGGGACGAGGTGTAGCTGCTGAAGCATGAGGCAGCTGGACACACTGTCCACAGGAAGCAGAGAGAGATGGATGCTGGTGCTCAGCTCACTCTCTCTTTTATTTTTATATGGGTGGGGGTTGAGAAGGGGTTTCTCTGTGTAGCCTTGGCTGGCTCTGTAGACCAGGCTGGCCTTGAATTCACAGAGATCCATCTGCTTCCTCAGTGCTGGGATTAGAGGTGTGCGCCACCACCACAGGGCTGAAGTTTTATAACCCAGCCTCATTTCTGGTCCACTCACTGCTTCCTGATTATGGACAAAATGTGACCTGCTGGCTTACATGCCTGCCATCATGCCTTCCCCACTAGGACAGGACCATATCCCTCAAACTGTGAGCTAAAATATCCTCCTCCCTCCCTTACTTCCTGTAATTGCTTTTGTCAAGTGTTTTGCCACAGAAAAGAATTAAGAAAAGTAACTAATGAAGGTTTGAGTACTGAGGTGATGAGCTCATCTAAGGAAAAGATAAGCTCACCTGGGGAAGGGGTGAAGTCACCTGGGAAGAGCTCACCTGGGGAAGGGGTGAGTTGACCTGGGGAGATGTTAAGGTCACCTGAGAAGGGAGTGAGGTCACCTGGGCACGAGAGTGCCCACCTGGGGAGGGGAGAGCTCTTTTGGGGAGGAGATTTAATCTCATAGTACTAGACTCACAAAGAAACCTAACAGATGTTCCAGAACCCAAAGATTCCTGAGTGGACAGCTCAGAGTCTGGCCCTCACTTGCTGTGTTCCCTCTGAGCCCCCGTCACTAACAGGAACCTTCTGAGCCTGATGCTGTCTGTCATAACCTGGCCTATCTGATGCAGAAGTCCCACCAGAGGACATGCAGGAGGCTATGACAAGTGCCCATGCATTCTGCTTTACAGGAGGTTAAGGGCCACAGAAGTCCAGACCAACAAGGATCTCTGGAACTCAAAGGGGAGAAATCTCATTGGTCTAGAAGCTCAAAAGAACATTCAGGAAGATGCCTGTTGCACACATGACATTCCATCATGAAGAAGCTGATGCAGGAGGATGTTGACATCTAGAATAGCCTAGGCCACATACCAAGACTCTGGCCAATAATAAATAAGAATAAGGGCCAGATGGCTCAGTAGGTAAAGGTGCTTGCCGACAAGCCTGAGAACCTGAGTTCAAGTCCTGGGACCAACATGTGGAGGTTATCTTCTGATCTCCACCCATGACATGGACCGGCAATGCTCATATACATACCATCCCCCCACAGAGAGAGAGACAGGGGTGGGACACACACACACACACACACACACACACACACACACACACATATCATAAAAGGGGCTGCAGAGATCACTCAACAGTTAAGAGCACTTGCTACACTTGAAGAAAATTTGAGCTCAGTTCCCAGCACCTACTTTGGGTGGCTCACATCTGCCAGTAACTCGAGCTCTAGGAAATTCAATGAATCCAATGTTCTCTTCTGGACTCGTGCACACACATGTACACACACACACACTTTTTAAAAAAATAATAATGTAATAACATTTTTAAGAAACATAAGGTGGAAAGTGATAGAAGAAGATAACTATCATCCTTTGGCTTACACAAACACACACAATCACATGATCATATAATATACTCACAACAGGCAGCGGTGCACACACCTTTAATCCCAGCACTCGGGAGGCAGAGGCAGGTGGAGCTCTGTGAGTTCGAGACCAGCCTGGTCTACAGAGTGAGTTCCAGGACAGCTGGGGCTGTTACACAGACAAACCCTGTCTTGAAAAGACAAAAACAAAAATAATAATAATATACACACAATCACACAATACACACGATTACATAATAGACCTGCACAACAATACACACACACACACACACACACACACACACTATCACATAATACACACATGATCATATAATATACATATATAACTATATAATACACTCACACAATTACATAATACACAGACACTTGTAGGGGACAGTAAGCCATGCCTGTTAGAGGCTGACTACAGGTGTGCCTGACCACTCCTGTCACGCTCTGGCTTGCGTTTTTCTAAGAAATGATATCTTTATCCCAAGCTCCTTTTATTTCTTTGTTTGTTTGTTGTTTGTTTTGTTTTGTTTTTCAAGACAGAGTTTCTCTGTGTAGCTTTGGAGCCTATCCTGGCACTCACTCTGGAGACCAGGCTGGCCTCGAACTCACAGAGATCCGCCTGCCTCTGCCTCCCGAGTGCTGGGATTAAAGGCGTGCACCACCAACACGCAGCCGTCCTTTTATTTCTTAATAGACACTGACAGGCACACTACACATACATCACACATACATCACACACACATATATACACAGGCATACAATCATAGACACATAATCATATGATCATACAATACCCACATGATCACATAATACACATACATGATTACATAATACACTTGCACAATCACATAACACACACACACACACACACACACACAAAAAAAAAAAAAAAAAAAAAAAAACCCTGGTAAACAAAGATTGGGAAGTGTTCTGGGCTGAGGGAAGGTCTATGCCAACAATATGTATTGACTGACCTACTAGATGCCAGCAACTAGACAAAGGAGACCCACCACCAAGCTCACAGCCAAGTCTTGGGTACTTAGAGAGCTGTGTGTACACAGGCTGTATGGATCCCAGTTCCCAGATTACAGCCAGCATGACTTAAAACATGCTGCCCACTTAATAATGGCAGCAACAGCAAGTATCTACCAGGAAGAACTCAGGGAATGTGGGAGGGATCCATGGCACATGTACCATCCCTGCCAACCTGTCCCTCACAGTTGATGCCACTCTCTGCACTCAGAACAAAACTTCCTCTCCTCCCCACCCTCCTGCAAGGTCCCCAGGATGCCAGCCTCTGACTCAGCCTGATACCTTCTTAACTCTCCGGGCAGTGATCACATGGCTCTCGTCATACTGCCTTTTGGATCGAACATCTGGGAAAGAAAAGAGTTGAACTCAGAACGGGAACTGTAAAGGAACACAAGAACGCTGGTGGGTAGGTGAGCAATTGTCCACTAAAAACACAGCTGTGGCCGGGCGTTGGTGGCGCACGACTTTAATCCCAGCACTCGGAAGGCAGAGACAGGCGGATCTCCATGACTTCGAGGCCAGCCTGTCCTACAGAGTAAGTGCCAGGACAGGCTCCAAAGCTACACAGAGAAACTCTGTCTTGAAAACAAACAAACAAACAAACAAGTCTGTGCCACCACCACTACCCGGTGACCATTTTATTTCTTTGAAACAGAGTCTCACCATGTAACCCCAGGAGCCTCAAGAGTGTTGATTGTGCTGCCTTGGTGCTGGGACCACCAGCCTGCACCACCATGCTGTGAGTACCTTTCCTTGATCCCATCTTGATTATCTTTCAAGGAGTGGTATAAAATTCAACAGCAGCACTATTTCCCTTTGTTTGTATGTGTGTGTGGTGTCTGCATATAAGCATGTGTATAAGAGTGTGTTAGGGTACATGTATATATGTGTGAACATGCCTGTTCCTCAATTGCTCTCCACCTTATTTCCTCAGGCTGGGTCCCTCACTGAAGCCAGAGTTCACCCTTTCACAGTCTAGTTAGCCAGCTTGCCCAGCATATCCATCTTCCCCTCCCGAGTTCTGGGATTACGGCCAGGCTGCCAAATCTCCTGACTTTTATATGATGCTAGGGACCAAACTGGTGTTCACGATTGCATGGCAAATATTTTATCTACTGCCTAATCACAGGCAGCATTTTGAACCAAACAACAAAATAACTTTTTAAAAAAGATTATATTTATTTATTATGTATACAACATTCTGCGTCCATGTATATCTGCACACCAGAAGAGGGCACCAGATCTCATAATGGATGGTTGTGAACCACCATGTGGTTGCTGGTAACCGAACTTAGGTCCTCTGGAAGAACAGTCAGTGCTCTTAACCTCTGAGCCATCTCTCCAGCCCCCAAAATAACTTTCTAACATCATTCATTTACCCCTCCCAAAACTTTGCTAACCTTCAAAAGGAAGATTTGTAGGCCACTGTTCTCAACATATCCATTGGTTAACTGTGCGCTGATATTTGTGTGTTGGTGTATGTGTTGTGTGTCTGTGTGTTGGTGTTGGTATGTGTGTTTGGGTTAGTATGTTATTGATTTCTACTTACCCAGTAAGCAGAGATAGTTGGGCTCAGCTAGTCTGGACAGCTTTGAGACCTGATTCAAGATGTTATAGAGTTCTGTTGGCTCACAGAAGAGCAACTCAGCCATCCTACTGGGAAGAATCAACAGTGCACAAGTTTAACACATATCTTTCTATTTAAGATAAATGACTAGAAAATGAGGTAGTGAATTAAATTCTTCAAAAATTGGAAGCGATGGAGCTTTGCAGCAGTGGTGGCACATGCCTTTAATCCCTGAGCTTGGGAAGCAGAGGCAGGAGGATCTCAGTGAGTATGAGGCCAGCCTGTTCTACAGAGTGAGTTCCAGGACAGTCAGAACTGTTACACAGAGAAACCCTGTTTCGGGGAAAAAAAAAAATGGAAGCAAGGGACTGGGGCTATAGCTCAATTGACAAAGTGCATGCATATATATAAATATGTATAGGTAGATTAACATATCTTCTTGTGAATTATCTTAGTAATTATTAGCTATAGACAACTTACATTGTTATAGATTCTCATATGATATAACTTATGTATAATTAAGTTTGTATTCCTTTCTTGGATAATTTTTATATATTGTCATATTGTGTAAGGTCTTCTTTCTGTATATGTTTTGTGCACAAATATCCTTATCATATTCTATATATGTATGCTTTTACATATGTTTAAGATATTTTGTATATCGACACAATTTAGGATATTTTTATCATCCTAAATTGCACTATACAGTTCTACCTCTGCTCTGGACATTTCAATTCTACCTCTGTTTTAGGGATTCACATATATGTGTGTATATAGTTATATTGCTGAAATCTTGGTCCTTGCTAAATTATTTTGGGAAGCTTCAGCCATTGTACAATTAGATTCCCAAGAATTACAGATATTTTCACCCACATTTCTTATATCTATTAGTCAGATATAAATTTTGATCTTCAAACACTTCACAGACCTACAGAATAGGTCAGAATAAAACATTTAAATGTTTTAATATTAGTACTCAGTTGACATGAGACAATCGCTCCTGACAGCACCAAGCTATTCCCGAGAATATGCTGGGCACCAATGTCACTCCTTCTGGAGTCTGTTCTCTCCTCAGCCAATAGCCTCTTGGGCAACGAACTGTCCCCACCTTGATCTCTGGCTTTGGACATGCTGTCCTCCTGTGCTTGCAGATGAACTTAGAAGACTGCTGAACCTTGCCAAGTCAGGGTAAGACAGCCTTTCTACCTCCCTGCTTCTGTGTTGGTCAGTCAGATACTCTAGGCCTTAGCTAATACTGGTAGCCTCTACACTGCTGTGAGACTCTGGGTGACTGTCCAGGTAGCCTGCTGTTTCTGTCTTAGCTTCACCTTTTGGAAGTTGCTCACCTGCACTTCCTGCCTACTCTCATGTTGCTATCCTCCTTCTCAGGTCTTTGATGAGGTTGAAGATTAGACTGTCACAGTTATTGTTCTCTCTTCCTAGATAGAAATATTAGGTACAACACTTAAACTTTCCAGCTTAGGACAGCTCTACAGTAATTTCTGTTATGCCTTCACTAGGACTGGATATGTGTAGTTCTTGCCATTTGCTCTTGTTGCTTCCCTGGCAATAGGTCTTGAGGGTGTATGTTCTTTCTTTTCCTTGTCCTCGTGCATACTTGATATTTTCTATCTTTGTATATAGTTCTGTATCAAGTCTAAATCTTTTTCTTTAGACTAAAAGGGGAAATGTAGTGAGAGATCTACCACCAGAAGCACCTGTGGCTCCTGGTGCGTACCTGAGCCTGTGGGATTTGGTCTGGGGTAGGGACAGCTTGCTGTCTCTTGGTTCCAGCCAGGTCACGGAGAGCAGCAAGGCATGGATCCTCGGAGCTGGAACTTGTGGGTTATCAGTTTCTCATGTAAGTGACTTCTCCCCAGAAAAAGTTAACCTATATCTGTCCTAGTCCCATGTATCTTAATTTGTACATCCACATATTACTACATATGGAACTATGTAATACCAAGTAGGCTATAAATAGTTACAAGTTCATTGCTTGCTCTCTCTCTCTCTCTCTCTCTCTCTCTCTCTCTCTCTCTGCACTTGATGAGCTTGGGTCCTCAAATGTTAGACAAATGCACTGCCCCTAAGCTACATCAACAGCTCTTATTTTTTTTTTACTAACAATTAATGAGCACCTATTAAACCAAGCATTAGAAATAATCAAGATAAACAAGGCAATCTTATTGAGATTCAGTCCAGAGAGAATGCAGATATAGCCATACAATAGCATAAGGAAGAAGTGCACTATTAAGACTGCTATGGGGTGGGCAGGATTGTTTAGCAAGTGAAAGCACTGTTGTGCAAGCCTGATGACCCAAGTTTGATTCCTGGAACCCGAGGTAGAAGTAGAGGATGAACACCCAGAAGTTGTCATGTGATCTCCATGTCCATGCCATGCCCCACCACACCCACTCCCCCACCCCCACACACTCTCTCAGATTCTTCTTTTAGATTTTCTGTGTTTTTTACCTGCTATTTATATGTGTACCATGTGCACTCCTGTGCTCGTGGAGGCCTGAAGACAGTGTCAGATCACCTGGTACTGGAATTAGGGGCAGTTGTGAGCTATCATAGGGGTGCTGGGAGCCT